ATAGAATTTACATATGAAAAAAAGCTTGTAGATCAGCCAGACAAGCTTCTTTGGAAAGCTATAACAAAGGGCGGGAGGGAAATTATTGTTAAATTCACGTGCTATTATAATCAGAGAGCACACGAGTTGTTTAGCGAAATTGGAAAAGTGCCAAAATTACTCTATATTAGCAAAGAGGTAGTGTATGGTTTTTATATGGTCATGATGGATTATGTTAAAGCCAAGCTACTTTACAACTGCAATAATTCGCTTAGTTATGATGAATATAAAACGGTTTTCGAGGATATTGAAGAAGCTATCAGCAAATTGTATAAGGAAAATATCATTTTTGCTGACCTTTGTGATTCCAACATCTTGGTTAACAAATCTCAAGATCAATATCAAGGAATGTTAATAGATTTCGATTGGGCTAGTGAGGAAAGAATTGAGTGCTATCCATCGTTCATGAATGAAGATATTAATTGGCTACCAGGAGCTGAGAATAGAAAGAAACTGAGTCGGGAACATGATATGCATTGGTTGAAGTTATTGAAATCTAATTACTTAGGTGAAAATATAGAGCTCGAATGATTAGTTAGCATGGTATTTAAGGATAAAGTAAAAAACAAACAACTATACTAACAAGCTGTATATGTATTCAATATAATTTGTTTTTAATGATATAATAATAAACGAATCCTTGGATTAATCATATTCATACATTTTGGAAATAATGTCGCTTAGTAGCTGATGAAGATCTGCATTGCAAACGTTATTAGTTGTATCAGAGGCACTCTACATAATAGTTTGCATACTATGAATAGATTTTCTTACGAGGTTGCAATCTTCTCTCGCTGAAGTGTTATTAGTTTTTCTTCCAATTCTTTTATTTCCTGATCTTTTGCATCTATACCTGTATAATAAGTATGAGGTCCAAGTTAATAAATGAAATTATTGCGAAGAAAGCAGTATAGGTTTGGAATATGAGTTAGAGACTCGACACTTTGTGTCTTCGAATGCAGTTGTGGTACTACTTACCCTGGTCCTCACCCTTGATTTTTTTAATAAATTCAGCGATAGTTTTAGCTGGTCCTCTTTTTAAACCATCTTGTATAAGTTCATCGACGTTCAAGCTAAGAAAATTCTGACCAGTAATTTCTTGTCCACGAAGAATATCGAAATGCTTATTCTCAAGTTCTAAGTCTTGCTTGCCCAAAAACTCTATTAGTTGTTCTGTTGTTTTACATCTTCTCACTTCATTGGCTGTAGAAAGAACTTTTTCTCCAGCAGTAGATATGATTATTTACGTATTTAGTTTTTGGGATAGGACGAAAAAAATTTTTTAGTAAGAAATAGTCATATATTTTACCTTTTTATAGTTTATACAAACAATCAAATTGTCATACAACAGATCACGTATTGTTACATGATAAAATGACAATACCGATATTGTATTTTTCCGTAGTGATGGAAATTTATTTTTATTATTGTTATTAATTATTCGAGGATATAATAGATGAGTTAGGAACTTGAAACTATTATAAAATAGTGAAGCTTTTACTTAGCGTTTCTTTCCTTAAAAAATTATTACATTCACATCGTTTATATATCCTATCCGCTACTTTTTTGCATGTTTTGCAATATAGATGTGAATGATGATTGCATTCGTTACAAACCTTACACCTATGCTTCCAACTTCTAAAGATATACCACTTGTCGATGTAATTTTGCTTATTATATATGAGTATGCTATTCGGATTTTTTATTATTGTATATATTATATATAAAAAAATAATATACGTGGCTAAATTTTTTTTATACAATACAAACCTGTAATATGTGGCACTTGTGTTTATATTT